TCTCTCTCTCTCTCTCTCTTCTCTCTGTCTTTCTCTCTCTCCTCTCCTTCTTTCTTTCTCTTTCTCTCTCTTCTCTCTGTCTTTCTCTCTCTTCTCTCTCTCTCTTGTCTCTCTCTTTCTCTCTCTCTCCTCTCCTTCTTTCTTTCTCTCTCTCTCTTCTCTCTCTCTCTCTTTGCACGTCTCGTAAATCCGTTATGTGAGGGGGCGAGAGAGCACCAGATCAGAGCTGTGTGAAGAGAGAGAGAGAGATAGAGAGAGAGAAAGAGAGAGAGAGAGAGAGAGAGAGAGAGAGAGGAGAGAAAAAAGAGGAGAGGAGAGAGAGAGGAGAGAGAGAGGGAGAGAGAGAGAGAGTAACAGATAAATAGATAAATAGAGTAACAGAGAGAGAGAGTTTGTAGTTCTTTCTGTTTTAAAAGAAAATATTTCCTCCTTTAGAAACACCTGAGGAGTCGAACCCACAACCTCCTCACTGACAAACAGACTGAACCACAGGGAGTCGAACCCGCAACCTCCTCACTGACAAACAGACTGAACCACAGGGAGTCGAACCCCAACCTCCTCACTGACAAACAGACTGAACCACAGGGAGTCGAACCCGCAACCTCCTCACTGACAAACAGACTGAACCACAGGGAGTCGAACCCGCAACCTCCTCACTGACAAACAGACTGAACCACAGGGAGTCGAACCCGCAACCTCCTCACTGACAAACAGACTGAACCAACCTCCTCACTGACAAACAGACTGACACACACAGGGAGTCGAAACCGCAACCTCCCACACAGATGAACCACAGGAGTCGAACCCACAACCTCCTCACTGGGGGGAGGGGAGAGTCTGAGTTTTTTCTGATGAAATTCACAGAAACTCGTTTGTTTTTTTGTTTCTACAAATAATTTATCTTCCTCACGAGAAAAGAAGAAAACACAGATACAGCACAGGAAGTACTACAAATACTACAATACTACAAATACAAATACTACAAATATACTACAATACTACCACGGAAGTACTACAAAACACAAATACACAAATACTACAAATACTTACTACACAGGAAGTACTACAAAATACTACAATACTACTACTACCACAAGACACCTACATACTACTACTACAAATACTACACAATACTACAAATACTACTGCAAATACTACCACGGAATACTACAAATACTACAATACTTACAATACTACAAATAAAATACCCACAGGAAGAACTTACTACAAATACTACCTAAAACTACACAAATACTACCACTAGTAAAGTACTACAATACTACAAATACTACTAATACTACTACTACAAGGGAAGTACTACAAATACTACATACTAAATACTACAAATACTATAAACTAAAGCAAAGATACAAATGTCAAATACTAAAATACTACAAAAATAACTACATATACTGTAAATATTACA